TCTTGTTTTACGCATTGAAAATTTTCAAAGCTTCGATCATTAGAGTAATTCGAGATACTAATGTGTACAAGAAGGGAAGTCAATTTTTACTACTTATATTGCAAAAGAGAAAATGGGCAATATTTTACACTCACTTATCATACTCTGCGAATTCGTCTTCAACTGTTTCCATTTTCTTCCATTTAAAATGTAATAGATGGTTACTGTCATTATGCAAAGTGACTGTTGCCACCTGTTTGACACCAATAAATGTTTCTTCAATTTGTATTCTACTTTTATCCATCCAAATGTTGGCTTCTTCGCCAACTCCATATAACTTTGAGTATAAAATTTCTCCTGGAAAAATTATTAATCATTTCAGCAAGATAAAGAGTAATAAGTAAAGAATATTTCTTTAATTCCATTTTATAAAGATAATAAAGATTTAGGTGCCTTCCATGAATTACGTAACAGAAATTTCAAGTGTTTTGAATACTCCCTCTCTCCCCTGTAATGCACCCATAGTGCATGCTTGAACACCTCCCAAATAATTTCGTAATGCTTGCAACAACACCACCTCCCCTTGTAAATACAAGAAGTAAAAATGAGTTATAGCACAGTAAAAACAATTTGTTTTTATTTTACTTGAGTATATTAAAATTAATGATAATTAAAGTAGAAATTAGTTGCCGAGCAACAGTCCACTGCACAATTTTCAATGTGTTCAATTTTCAATGTATACTACATATCAGTTCAGAACATTTCCTTTATAATCTCACAAATTCAATAAAAAATTGATGAAAAAGTAATTCCCTTTTATTGTAATAACTTACATCTAATAATTTTAATATATTTATGTTTCAAAAATATTAATTTGCTGATATTTTAGTACAACCACTCAAAAGAAGAATTATTTCTGCAAATGTTGGAAAACATAAAAAAATAAATATCAACAATAAACTAATACTCCCTACCCCTATGTGACACATAACCATAGAGTAACAAACTATCTCCATAGTCGGTGGCATTACACTGCCTCAAACCCCCTCTCCTCTCTTTAGCAATGCAAAATTTCTGGGTGACCCCTTATGTGGTTAGAAAGGGAAGGTTGACCAACTAGAATATTTCACTCTCTCATCAAATTAAATCAGTTTATTGTATTTAGATACATTACATAGGTAATTACATGCCTTTTACCTGTTTCATAACAGATTTTAAGTTGACCTTGAATGTTTCCACATTTTTTTGGTGTCACTGATACTCTAACGTTCATCATTTCTGATGATCTCAATACTCCTTTCCTAGGTTCTACTTCAAATGGACTGCCAACAAACAAGTACAATATTAAATATTACAAGTATTATATTAAATTTTCAGAATTGTTTTTGTGAGATACAAAAACTAGCTAATGAAAAATACCCCTAAAATATGAAAAAGTTTATCTTCAAAGTCTTGAGAAAAATTGCTCAATTAACTTATTTCTTACCTGCTTGTAGCCAGACTAAAAATTGCTGGCACATCACCAATGTTTCTCACAAGAACTACCTTTGTGCAACGTATTTTAATAGGACCTGAAGGAATGTGAATGTCATCTGGAAAATCTAAAAGTGGTCGAGGGCCAATAGCTGAAAGAATATAGAAGATTGCGAGTGTTTCTCCACATAATGCAAAATGTAAAAAGCATTCAAAGATGTTATCCAATACTGTTAAAAGTCTAGAAATAATATTTTAACATTTCATACACATTTGAAAGACGTTGGCTTTAGTTACCTTCAAATAGAGAAAAACAAAACAAAGAGAAGTTATAAACAAGATTCTCTAAAAGAATAACAAAAGATTTGAAAACAGATTTTGAAAATTGAATAAATATTTATTTTAAATCTTACAATATTAACCCTTAGCTAACTAAATACACAGAAAATAGTCCTCAAATTGGTGCAAAACTGACCAATTGAGAAATTGATTATAATTTCAACTCACCAAAAATTGGAACCTTGAAACATTCTTGATTCGACTGTAAAGATATTTGATATGAATAGTCTTTTTTATCTTCTGGAGTGAAGTGTACCGTTAAGACTGTACCCATTCCTGGAGCAATGCGAGTGAATAAACCAGAAGTGAAGGAAACAGAGAAATGTTGAGATTCTTCGTAAGTAATTTGTAATGGTTTCATTATCTAAAAATGACACAATATAATGACTTCAGTGTTTTAGATTTATTGTTAATATTTATTATTTTAATATTTTATTAATATAAATTAATGATTATTTCCACAGGAATTGAAATTTCATTAAAGATATTCAAATGAAAAGAATGAAACTGCAGAGGTAAATACTCCCTAGGTACAATTATAGGTAGACCAAGATTCCTCTACATACAAGGGAAAATATTCAAAGAATCAAGTTAAATAACTGTAACAAGCATTAAACTATAAGAAAATTATTAAAATCATGATTGGCTGATGTGTTAAATAGAATAGAATGTAATGATGCTGAATGAAAATTCATGAACAGATATTAAATATTCTAAGTCATTGTATCTTGGTGATACATTGCATAGTGTTCAAAGGAAGGAAAGAAAAATAAATTCATTCACAAGAGGCATAGTCTGAGTAACTTAATATTCTCTACTAAAATACTCTTGCAATTTATAGAAATTTAAATATAAATTGCTATATAGCTTTGTAGATATTTAAAATATATACAAAGCTATATAGCAATTTATTATTAACAGAAAAGTTCATAATAAAAATTTTATTTACCTGACAAGCATTCCTCACTGATACTGGTACTTTATATACTTTTCCCGGAAGAAAATTCTGGAAAACTACAACTTTTGGAAAAAATCGAAAACTTAGTGAATGTTCCAATTCCTTATTGACTTTCACACTAACTTTTTCCCGGGTATGAATAAGTTTATGGATTCTATCTTCTGCGGACATTTGCATTTCATTATTAAAGATAGATGGTTTTGCCTGAAAATTGTAAAAAACTAATTAATTCTTGAAATGAGATATTATTCATTACCAATTAATGGACTACCATCAATTAATAATATTTACAATTACAATAATGTTACAGTAGATAAAATCATTCATTCACAGCATTTAGAAAGAACAAATGAAAAGATTCCAAAGTATTTAAAAGATGTGCGAAATTTTTTTAAAGATACTTATAATGTATTACGACAGTATTTTAAAATACTTTTTATTATTACTAGTGTTTGGATTTTTATGCAGTACCAAAAGTCAAAATATGCCATGAAATATCCAGTCAAAATTTTAAAAAATATATGCAAAAATTGATTGACAGTACTTCGCATTTTGGGTTGGCAAACACAACTGATCCCATCTTAGCAAATGAGAAAAGGGATGTGATAAGAGGGAGATAAGAAGCATGAAATCAGATGTATTAAAAATACTTTATGGTTTAAATGAGCTTTTCTCTTTGTGAAGCAGATTTCTGAACTGTGATTTAAGGCTTTACATTACTTTTCTGGTTTTGCAAATACATTTGCTTTATTTTTCTTTTGGTCATTGTATCTTTGTGATACATTGCATAGTGCTCAAAGGAATAAAAGAAAAATAAATTCATTCTCAAGAGACACAGTCTGAGTAACTTGATATTCTCTACTAAATCACCAGTACGATAAAAGAGCCAAAAAAAAGAGGAAATAATCCCAACTCTAAAATGCGAAATTCAAAACATTAATAATTATAAAGTATGCAATATAATTCAGTATAATGCTGAAACATGTAAGTATGGGCAGCATACTAGAAATGTAAACATTTTCAAAAATATGTATCAGGGGACTCCTATTCAAATAGAAAACAGAATTTCAGATGTTTGCCTCTAAGATGATAAAAAACCAATCCCTAATTATAAATAAAACTCCTTGTAGCACTGAAATGTTAATAAACAAATAATAAATGGCAAAGGCAATTCAAACATAAAATCTGACATTCAAATTCCATTATTAACATTACTAACTAATACTATTCTAATTATCATATTTTTCGTATCAACAGCACATAAGGTTACCAAAGAGAAACTGCTTTCCTTTGAGTTCAACAATACAGGCAAAAGGTGCACAGTATTGAATCGGCCATCTGGTTTTAATAAAGGCACAGCTCGATCCCTTATATCTCCAATATCTTTAAAAAAAAAATTGAATAAACATTATTGAAATGCTTATCTTGAAGAAACTGTAATAAAATTAGGCACAAACTATTTCTAATGTTATCACGAAAAGACAAAATTTTGTATACTTTTGAAAATCGTAATTTGTACAAAAAATGTGCTTCACTGCTATATTTCCTTATCTCTAACTATAAATGATTATTAATTAACGTTATTAAATTGTATGTGTAACACATATTCATATCAAATTATACATAGTAAAAACATGTATTGTTTATTTACAATCTTATGTACCTCCACTTCCAGAGTGCTTTTTTGAAGTCATTTTTAATACAAGAAAAACAATATAAAACGTTTTTCTTTAAACAACTTTAAAAAAAATATTAATTGTAAGTCATTACAAGAAATAGATGATCTTTAACTTCCTTTGTATCATTTTCTGAAGCATAAGCTACTTCACTTTGTTCTATAATTCAAGACAAAAGAAGTTTGTCTTAAATTATTCCATAAATGCGTCATACATAACAATTGTTTCGTCACGATTTAGATGAAACGAAACAAAACAATGTTTCGGTATTCACCAAATACCCTTCGGTTCATCTATTCAAATGGAATGTAGAGTTACTATCAAACATTTGGATTCATTCCTGAATACGGTAATGTATTTCTTATTTCGGTTGCAGTTTATTTCTAGAAAAAATAAAAATACCTTATATCGACTTATAAACACATATAACTCTTTAAGATACTCAGGATAAGGTTAAGGGAATAATAATTATTGAGTGGATATGATTGTATTGGTTTAAAAATTGCGCTTCGTGCTATTGCCTTAGAAGTTTGTAATTGCGCAGGAAGATGGCGCTGACGAACCTTCGTCCTCGCCATGGAGGGGAGAGGCACAGTAATGTCCCTGGAATAGATTCTTGGCTCGAAAGTCCTTTCCAGTTCAGCACATCAGTGCTGGTGGTTGTGCTTCTTGCTTGTGAGGTGTGGGAGGGTGGTAGTTTGTGAAGATTTATTTCAAGGATAAGGAAACACGTTCCAGCCCCTTAATTTGCAACAATTTCTTCAGTTGAAGTATGAAGATCTGGACATCGGAACACACATTCAAGTGAGTGTTATCATTTTTGTCATTGCCACTGAGCTGTGCTTTCGCATTGCATTTAGTTAATAACCGTACCTAGGAATATTAGAAATGTTTTGTATCTAATTGAGAATTTTTGTACATTTCAGCCACCCTTGGGAAACGGTGGCCCAGGCAGCATGGAGAAAATACCCCAATCCAATGAATCCTGCTGTAATCGGTACTGATGTCCTCGACAGAAAAGTTGTGGATGGTGTTCTCCATACCCATCGGCTTGTAAGCTCCAAGTGGGGATTTCCTGGATGGGCACAAAGGGTAGAGTATTGAAGTTATATGTGTAAACCACTTGCTTCGCAACCTTTTAAGCGTTGAATGTTAATGTTGACAATTTTATTATGCTGCCAAACATAAGTGCATGTTTATTTATAACTTGCATGCATGGGATTGACAACTAAGATATTATATTACAAAATTTGACTTGTCTAGGAATAATCATTGGAAGATGCTTCTTAAATGTCACAAACCATGTCATGCATAAACTAGTCGCTCATCTTTTAGTGTGGATGTTTATCAAGTTGCTTATATATGTAGTTTTATATATGTAGTATGTTTGTTTTATGCAACTTGACATTAGTTCCTTGTGTTTGAAAGATTCTTTTGCTACAATGAAGTATCGAGGGTAGGATAATAGGTTATTTTTTCTGATAATGACTTTAGTTTAATGACTTATAATTTAATCACTAAGTTTTCCATTTCAGTTACGTTCCCTAGTATTTTATTAAGTAGTGCGTGGAATATCATTTAGGAAATATATTAAAACAGATTTGTTGATTCCCCATTACTGTACAAATGCATGTATTGACACTTCACGATGTGTGGTTTGGCGTTTCCAAGTGGCAACTTGCAGCTTCGGAATTACATTGTGGGATTTGTTCAAAATGTGTACTGTCAGTGCAGTTCAGTGAGAAACCCTCACAGTTCCCCAGATATACCCCGAATTGGCCCGCTACCAGTCTCTGTACGTCACAGGAGCCTGCCTCGTGCTCGCCATCCCTCGTTCGTTAGTGCGTGCGTGTGTGTAATGTCCCCACGTGTCACTCGTTCACCTGTTCGCCCGCCCCTCCCCCGCCCCCTCGGTCGGTTTGGGCTCGGCGTCAAGGGAGCTTCCGCGCCAATTCCACGTGACGCAACGCCTCGTGCTCGCCGCCCATGACCTTCAGACGTCAGCTATTAAGCTTGCTTGCTACAGCAACCTCGTCGCGTGGGCAGGCGGCGCGACTGATGGCAGCAGTTCCTCCCCTCTTCCTCTTGGTGCCACGGCGTGCAACGTGAAGACTATTATCATCGTGGCCAGCATTTTACAATGATGGGGATTGATCCAAGTTTAAAGGTTTCTGTCTTTTGAACGTTTTTGATTTCGCAATGTCCTCTTTGACTTTGTAATGTTTGGTGTCTTTTTACCCTGCTTGGTAAATGACCTTGAATCGAAGGCGGGGGAAGGCCGAATAAAATGAAATAGAATGAATTGACTGACGCAGAGTACATTAAAGCAGATTTGTTGTTTTTTGGCAGGACCAAGAAACATTTTATTTATTCAATAAGTTTGTGAAAATCTTAATAACGAACTTCAAAATTATTTTACAAAGGTTATGATTTTTTAAAATAATTGTGTGCAAAACCATTGTCGCGAGCAATTATTAGGATGAATGCACAAGACACAATCCAAGCGAACGCACAGAAAGATTTACCACGGTGACTTCATCATAAAAACTGAGAAAGAGGTAAAGAAGAAAAGATGACGAGCATTGCAAATCGAAAATTTTACCGTCTTTTACTGTTAACTTGTGAAATGCGAAATTTGAATATTATAATCATTTTGAGAATAAAAAATGTTACCTATGATTTCGAAGGTCTCTCAAAAGTCAATGGTCTATTAGGATATTCATGAAAAAATTTACCTGAAGGCTGATCTACAGTAAGAATAAAAGTTTTCAGATTTTGGCTCGTTCAATTTATAAAATAGCATCAATTTCTTTGCTCATCCTTCCTTTTCTCTTACCTGGTTTTGAACTAAGTGTAAAATCGGTAATGAAAATCGGGGGGGGGGGGGCGGGGCGAAGTGTTTTGATGAAAATGAACCCTGTGGAGGGGCAAGGGGGGGGGGGGCCCTTCATACTTTTTTTAAAATATTTCAACTCTCTCACTTGAAGCTAAAGCGACACATTTTACGGTTTTTACACTTGTCTTGGGGTCGGCACTAATACCTTACTTCTGACGTATGTTTCAATTTCTAGTAGTTTCTGGCCAGCAACAGATGTACTCTATAAAGAAAGTTGAGAATCGTCGAAGACATCACTTCGCGAATTGCGTTGTTCCGCTAGACAGGTGGGCTGAAGACAGACGTGTTAGTGCAGTTAAAGGTTAGGGATAGTTTTCATGAGTGATGATTAGTTATCCCCCCGTAGGGCTTTTGTCCAGCCAATAGCCGGTTACCCTTTACGTCCCGATGAGATGCATATTTGACCATATACTACACACACCAACACTTGCAGGGTCCTCTGATCTGTGGTCAGTAGAACGCGAGGCCCTCAGCGACAAACATACTTACGAGACAAGGGACAAACAACCATGCTAAAGGCGGGACTCGAACCTGCAATCCTCTTCGAAGCACAGAGTCGATAAATGCTCTTGGCCATCTCGGCCTTCCAGATCCGCTAGTTATTTTCGACGTCTCTAAAAAATAACGTACGAATTGACATAAATCGTGTCAAATGCCAAGAGAGTATTTTTGGTCATCTTTAATTATAATTTTAATAACAAGTTTCGAACAGCAATCTTTAATGATAAATAAGAGCTGAAGTACTGTAATAATTTCTTAGTTATTTTTATTTCGTGTAATT